GTCCGCTTATGAGGGAGAACATGTGGTACTCAGTTCTTTGTTTCTGTGATAGATTACTGAGTATTATAGACTCTAAATCCATCCAAGTTGTTGAGAAGTTCATAATTTTGTCCTTTTCTATGACTGTGTAATCTTCCATCGTGCCTATGTACATTTTTTTATCCAGTTCACTTTTAATGGGCAGCACAGTTAGTTCTATGTTTTTGCTATTGTGAATAATGCTGCAATAAACCTGCATGTGCAGGTATCTTTTTTATATAATGATTTGAGTTCCTCCAGGTATATTCCTGGAAAGGTGATTGCTGGGTTGTATGGAAGGTCGATTTTTAGATCTTTTAGGAATTGCCACACTGTTTTCCACAGAGGTTGTACTAGTTTAACCTCCCACCAGCAGTGTAGAAGTGTTCCCTTTTCCCCACATACTCTCCAGCTTCTGCTGTTTTTTTTGAGTTATTGATGATGGCCATCCTGACTGGGGTTAGGTGGTATCTCAGTGTGGTATTAATTTGTGTTTCTTTGATGACTAGTGAGGCTGAGCATTTTCTCAAGTATCTGTTGGTTGCTTGTATGTCTTCTTTTGAGAATTGTCTATTCATATAATTTTCCCACTTTTTAATAGAACTGGTTTTTTTAAAATTTCATTTTGAGTTCCTTGAAGATACTGGATAATGGGCCTTTGTCAGACATATAATTGACAAATATTTTTTTCCCAATCTATGGGATGCCTCCCTACTCTCTTGATGGTTTCTTTGCTTTACAGAAGCTTTTCAGTTTTATGAAGTTCCATGTCCTCTTGTCTATCTTATCACTTATGGCATGGGCATTTAGGGTTTTAATCAATAATTGGTTGCCTATCCCAATTTCCATAAGGGTGCCAGCAAAGAGGGATAATTTAACTTCCTCTTTTGCTATCTGGATGGCCCTGATTTCCTGTGTTTTCTAAGGTTCTTATAGTTTGAGGTTTTACACTTAGGACTTTCGTCCAATTAGAGTTGATTTTTGTGTATGGTGAAACAGATAGGAGTCCTGTTTCAATCTTCTACATGTGGTCAGTCAGTTTTTCCAATACCGTTTATGGAATAGGTTCTCCTTTCTCCAGTGACTGTTGTTGGAGGCTTTGTTGAAGAATAGTTGGTTGAGAAATCGAGGTTTTGCTTCCAGAATCTCTATCCTGTTACATAGGTCTAAATGCCTGTTCTTGTATCAATACCAGGCTGTTTTTATTTTTGTAATCTTAGCAAAGTTTAAAGTTTGGAAGTGTGATACCTCCCAATTTGTTTCTTTTGTTAAGGATTGTTTTGGCTATTCATGGTTGTTTATGTTTCCATATGAACTTCTGTATTGTCATTTCCAGGTCTGAGAAGAATGATGCTGGTAATTTAATGGGTATTGTGTTGAATCTGTAGGTTGCTTTGGGTAGGATGGACATCTTAACAATGTTGATTCTTCCAGTCCATGAGCATGGACTATTTTGCCATTTTTTTGTGTCTTCTTTAGTTTCTTTGAGCATTGTTTTGTAGTTTTTGTTGCAAAGTTCTTTCACTTCTCTGGTCAGTAAGACACTGAGGTATTTCTTTTTTTTGGTGCTTATTGTGAATGCAATTGTGCTTTTTATTTGGTTTTATGTCTGTTTGTTGTTGGTGTATAAGAATGTGACTATCTTTTGCACATTTATTTTGCATCCCATGGCTTTGCCAAAGTCCTTTATCAGAGCAAGGAGGCTTTTGACAGATTCCCTTGACTTTTCGAGGTTTAGGAGCATATCATCAGTAAAGAAGGTATAGCTTAACTTCCTCTTTTCCTACTTGGATACCCCTGATTTCCTTCTCATGTCTGATTGCTCTAGCTAGGATATCCAACACAATATTGAACAGGAGGGGTGACAAACAATGGCTATCTCCAAGAACAATGGTACACAGGAGGTACTTACAGAGATCAAAGAATCATTGGAAAGAATGAATAAAAACCAAGGAATGCAAAGGCTAAAACTAAATGAAATTGCAATGGAGTTGGACAAACTTAAGAAAAAATATTTAGAAATATAAGAAATAAAGAACTCCATCCAAGAAATAAATAACAAACTGACAAGCATGGGAAGCAGAATTGACCAAGCAGAAGAAAGAATCTCAGAGCTGGGAGACCAAAATATGGAATTAACCCAATCTATTAAAAATATATTTAAAAAAAAAACACTTAGGAAGAAACTCTCCAAGAGATGTTCAGTTTTATCAAGAAGCCATACCCATGTCTTATCAGAATACCTGAAGTAGAAAAGAGAAACAGAAAATAACTTGTAATAAACATTCCATGAGGTCACTCAAGAAAATGTTCCTCATCTGGCCAGAGAGACAACTATGCAAGCACAAGAGAGTTACAGAACTCCTGCAAGATGTCTTTTGAGAAAACCAATGCTTAGACTCAAAATAATTCACCTACACAAAGTAGGTATAAAAGAAAAAATCCTAAATGCAGCCAGGGAAAAGGTCAGACTACCTACCTGAGAAAACCAGTCAGAACTGCTGCAGACGTATCTGCAGAAACACTACAGGCAAGAAGGAATTGGACCCCAATCTTTAATGTTCTAAAAGACAAAGAATTTCCTACCCAGTCAAACTAAACTTTATCAGTGAGGAAGAATTAAAATCCTTCCTAGACATCAATCCCTAAGACAATATGTTGCTTCCAGACCAGTTCTACAGGAGATGTTTAAAAAGGTGCTGTGCTCCAAAGAAAAGAGAAAGAAAATAAAGAACATATACTTCATAAGATTACAAACAAACGTAGAAGCGGCAGAATATATAGCCTACCTGTGAAAAAAAGAAAGCACATACATATATTAAAGCAAAAGTGAAAATAAAACACAACAGCCTTATAAGATCCTTATGACAGGGACAAACTCTCACATTTCAATAATCAGCCTGAATGTGAATGGGCTAAATGCAATATTGAAAAGATATAGAATGGCAAACTGGATAAAAGAGCACAATCCAACAATATGCTGCCTCCAGGAAATATATCTCATTACAAGGGACACTCACAGACTCAAAGTTAAAGAATGGAAAACAAGTTTTCAGGTAAATGGAAAACAAAAGAAAGAAGGAGTTGTGATCTTAATATCAGACAAAACAATATTTAAGCTATCAAGGCCAGGCTTGGAGGCTCAGCCTGTAATCCCAGCACTTTGGGAGACCAAGGTAAGTGAATTGTCTGAGCCTGCAGGTAGGTTGAGACCAGCCTGGGCACTTGGCAAGACCTCATCTCTACAATAAATGAAAAATTAGTTGGGCATGGTAGCGTGCACCTATAGTTGCAGCTACCTGGAAGGCTGAGGCAGAAGGATCACTTGATCCAGCAGGTCGATGCTGGGGTGGCTGTGAGTGTGGCACTGCATTCCAACCTGGGTGACAGAGTGAGACTCCAATTCAGAAAAATCTATCAAAAATTAAAAAAGATACTGAAGGATACTACATAATGATAAAAGGTTCAATCCATCAACAAGAAATAACATCCTAAAAATTTATGCACCCAACACTGGAGCACTAGCTTTTATAAAGAAGCTACTAAACAAGCTGAAAAAAGACATTGACTCTAACACTATCACAGTTGGGAACTTAAATATGCCACTAACAATCCTAGATAGATCATTGAGGCAAAAAATTAACCAGGAGATCTGTACCTCAACTTGATGCTTGACCAAATGGACTTAATAGATAGCTACAGAATACTCCACCCAACCACAGAATATACATTCTATTCATCACCACATGGGAAATACTCCGAAGCTGACCATGTCCTTGGTTGTAAATCAAACAAACAAGTTCCATAAGATTGAAATACTGTCATTCACCTTCTCAGACCACTGTGGAATAAAAGTAAATATCAACACCAACAAAATTCCCCTAAAGTCACAAAGTCATGAATACTAAACAGCATGATGCTGAACAACTCCTGGGTCAACGCAGAAATCAAAACAGAAATTAAAAGATTCCTGGAAACAAATGAAAATAGACATATCATGCCAAAACCTCTGGGATGCCATGAAATAAGTACTAAGAGGGGAATTCATCTCTCTATAAACACACATCAGGAAAACTGATCACAAGTTAACAGCCTAACAAATCACCTAAGGAAGGTGGAAAGACAAGACCACTAAAATCCTAACTTCAGCAGAAGAATTCAGGTCACCAAAGTAAAAGCCCAAATGTGGGACATAGAATACAAAAATATCATAGAACAAAAACAACAAAACAAAAAGCTGGTTGTTTTTAAAAGTATCTAAATTTGAGCTTATAAAACCACATGTATCTTAGGGTCCTGATCATACCCCTTTCCTTCCTGGTCTCCAGCCCACCTCTTGCTCTGTCACCCTCTCTTGGTCTTACACGCACATACACACATCTACACACTACAGAGATCTGTGCTGTTGGGGCTCCCTCTTTTCATTGCTATACTCTTCCATGGAAGCCGAATTGCAGCCCTGCACACTGGGAGAATTTGATGACGCTTGCATTGCTTCTCAAGGTGTTACTATAATAGTTACATAATTTTCATGTTAATGTGGCCAAAACTGCCAGCTGATTACCCAAACCCATGTTCTCCTCTTCCTCCTGGGCACAGAGTGAACCATGTTTTCCAGTTCCTCGTGCAGTTAGGTTTGGCCCTGTTACTACATGATAGCCCAAGACACATTTTTGGGTGCCACTTCCATGCCTGGCCTAAACAATATATTTGCCCTTTTCCTATTTTCTCCTCCTTCCACTATCATACAAGTAGATAAATCCTGGATAACACTGGAAGCCAAATGCTGAAGATATCACAGCCTCTATCAACCTGGTGTCTGAAAATACTGTCTGGCCAGCCACTTCACCTCTTTATACTGTTACGTGAGCAAAAAGGAAACTGCTATCATATTTGAGCCATCATACCTTTTTTTAAGTCTACTTGTAATAGCATTTATTCTACCCAAAAGATTACTGTTAATTATCTAAAGAAATGTGCACCGTTGGTTTTCTTTAATGCTTCCACCAGACACGAGGCTTCCTCTTGAATTCGGTCTTCAATCGTTTTCTTTCCCATTCCCATATTCCGCAAAACCATGAGGGAGAAACGCCGGGTTTGCTTCCATATTTCTCCATTGCTGAAAACAACTCCTATAAGGACAAAAAGAGACAGAGTAAAAATATCACCATTGTCATAAATGCTAGCTGAGAATACTCATCTCAGGAAATGATGCTGGCGCTTAAGCAGGGATGTGGATAAAGTGGTGTCAGCTTCAGGAATTCTCATTAAGTTCCATCCCACCTGCTTCCTCTCTTAACCCAACCTAGTATTTTACTGTCAGGAATCTTGAATTTACATATCACTAAACTCTTCTTCTTCCATCAGCTCCTCTAAACCTCAGAATATCTCTGTGAACCTGGTGTTTTCTCCCCATTCTAAAAGGATGCTGAAGTTAAGGGAATTAAAATTGCTATTATATCACAGCGACAAGTAATGGTGATTCCAAGTCATAAGTTAAATATACAAGGGTGGGTTTATGAAGTTTGAAGAGAAACAAGAAGATAAAACAATTCTCCAGAGAAAGTGGGACAAGTCTTTTGCATTGGAAAGAATCTCGGAACAATTTATTACTCAGGTAAGAAATACAGTCATTGACAGATCGCTCTTCTCAGTTTAACATTCCTTCTCTACTTGTTAAATCTCTCTCAGGAAGTGGCCTTAGCACCAAGGAAGTTCAACATCAGATTTCCAGAGTCCAGACAAGACCAGGGAAAAAAGTTAGCTCATAGGAAACTTGTCCTGAAATTCTCTTAGAGAAAAATGCAGAGGAGGGGCAGACACCATTCAGATCTTTATTCTGTATGCCAAAACCCAAGGATCCCTCAGAAAACTGGAGATTTTATGAGCAGCACCAAAAACAAAAGGAAGATTGTTCAAGTACTTAGTAAAAGGAGATTTTTCTTATATCAATTTCAATTCATACTCACCATGTGTTTTTTTCATGATCCTCTTTTCAGAGCATACTTTTGCTTTGTGCTTGGTATTCAATTGGATTTAAATATTCTTATGCTTTTTTAAAGAATAAAAGATAGAAAGCAAGGCAAGAAATATTCCACATTTATGTAGGTTATGTGCATGCTATGCAATGTTCTTAAAATTGTTTCTGGGTATCAGTGACTCAGACCAGGAAGCAATCTGCCTGATGAATAAATAATTTAGTCATATTGCTTCCTTCTCTGTTCTCTTGGTTCCTTTTTTATTATCTTAACTGGCCATAATTTGTGTGTTTGTCACAAATTCGTAGAACATTAGTAGTTAAATGGTTTGCTTTCATTGAATTTAATGTTTATGGGGACTTTGTGCCACCTTCATACATTTTAAATATGGAGTAAAGATTCTTTATAAATGAATTTTTCATGTTATTTGGTACAAATTATAAAAATTTTGTCTCATAAATATTCCTACATACTTTAATTTACGAATTTATTAGCCTATTTGGAGTCTTTATAACCTAAAAATCCACACATAGTTCCCAAAGATATATACCTAATCCTTGAGTGACTTTTTCAACAACTGGTAGGGTCCCTCTACCAGAAAATTCTTCTCCCCGGTCAATCAAGGCTTCCTTTTACAGCTTCATATCCATGTAACACCACAGTGGGCTTCATGCCAAGATACACAGTGAACACAGGGCCATACTCTTTTGCTAGCTGGAAAAAGAACAAGAAATGAAAGAAAAGTAAAAATTTCAAAACAGAAATGTAGATAAGTGATGAAGACATTTTCAGTCTTAGAACAAACAGTTTAATATTCATTCACCAATATGAAAGTTTTCAAACTTTAGAACCAGTTATTCAGTAAGAAAATACATTATTTACATGGTAATTATCATTACTAGTAATATTGCTATTATTATTATTATCCTTATCAATACTTATCCTTTATTCAGTTTCTACTATGAGGCAGAAGCTATATTATGAATTTTGTTTTTATTATTTTATTAGCTTTTCCCCCAAATCTATAATTGCACCAAATTTCCACCTCCTTTCTACAGTTAAAATAAATGATGTGTTCCTTCTTCTGTTTAAAGAAAGCCCCTTCAACTTGCCCTGTGTGTAGACTAGCAACTGTCCCTCATTATTCATTCTCTATATCTTCTTTCAAGCACCAGACACCTCTAAGTTTTCATAATAGATGAGATAATAGCAGTTTGGTCATTCCCCAGCTTCACTTAAAGCTATATGTGACCATGTGACAAAGTTTCCATGAAATGGTGTGAGCACAAGTAATGTGTGCAAATTCCACATTGTTGCATAAAAGGCAATTGCTTGCCCCTTATTTTTGCTTCTATCCATGGGCTGAAATGACAGCATGGAGCTGCCCCCACTGTGACCATGCAAATGAGAACAACAGCCTGAGGACACAAAATGGGAAAACCTCAAAGATTGAGAAACACTGGTTGTCTGAACCACCCCATGAAGGACAAGCAGCCATCAACACTCACTGCTAGATCATTCTGAAAGAAATTAACACCTATCATCTTTTAGTCATTGTATTGTTGAGTCTTTTTGTCAACTTATTTGGTATCCTAAATGTTCTAGGACTTACACTTTTTCAACTTGTCTAATGTTGAACTTCTTTTGCTGCCCTGCCATTTGTTCTCCATAAAGCAATGTTCTTAAAAATCCTTGCAATGCCTGGATGCCCTGACCCCTGCTTACCTATCCAATTTCATCTTTTACTGTGTTCTTTCTTACTCACTGGGCTACAAACACTTTGGTCCTCTTTCCAGGGTTCTGGGGAAAGAAACATTTCTCCTCTAGATTTGAAATACATGAAATAGACTTTTATCTATATTTCATCTAGGGAATATTTAATCATTCTTTAGTCTCTACTTCAACTTTACTTCCTTAGAGAAATTGCTAGCCACTCCTCTAACCCCGAGTTTCCTCAAGCTACGTGGCCTTTTTCTACCATTTTCCTGCTAAACAGATCATAATATACTTACTTGTCTCATAAATATATGCCTATTCTCTAAACTGTAAATCCTATAATGATAGGGACTTAAAAATTTTTTAAGTTCTTTAAGCCATTAGTTGTTTATTGCTGTGTAGGACATGGGGTAGGGTTTCTATGTCAATTTTTCTTCAAGTACAGCTACTTTCCCACTAACTCTTGACTGAGCAATAATTTCTCAAATTATCGGAAACACCCCTCTTTATTGTTTATTCAATCTCTTGAAAATAATTGATTATTTTTCTTCATTCTGCTTTACTTGATTTTTGTTATTAATGCAGCCAGAAGTGATAAATGCTATAGTTTTGGAAAGATACATTCTTTCATAGATACTTTAAATAAACTTTTTTCATGATAAAAAAATTTCATTCACCATTGAAAATCCTTTGCACTCATCTAATGTGCAAAGTAGGCAATTATTTGTTCAATCTATTATATATCCAAGTAACCCGTGCAAAATCATTATTATTTTTGCATTAAAGAAAAAGAAGATAAATATCAAAAAGATTTTAAAACTTGTTCAAAGCTGTTGATTGATAAATGGATGACCTGCAGTGCTCAATCTTTTTGAATTCAGAGCCAAAGCACAGGAAGAAGGAGTTTCCAGAAGTAGTGCTCTGGTAACTTGCAGTCTTGAGAAAAAGACAAATTTCACATAATTCTTTTTGTGTTCAGAGACCTACTGCTATGTAAATGACCCAGAGCAGAGAATTACTGACTCATGTATTGAGCAAATATAATAGGAGCTGTGAAGATTTCTGAACCCTTAGTTATTCCCTTGACTTCAAACCAATATGTGCTTTAGGAGAAATTGGTGCTGTGACCCTGTAAATCAGTAGTTTTTTTTTTTTTTAACCGAAAGATGTTCTGTGGAGAGTGCGGCCTGAGCCAAGATGGCGCCCGGGACCTCTGCCAAGTCCCATGATTAGGCGCATGATATACCGCCGGGCCCTCCTTCACTGCGCACTGCGCAAGTGCAACGCTGCAGAGCCTATGAACTGCTGACACGCTGGTACGGGACTTGTGGGTGGAGACCAAGGGATATAAGTACGGGACAACGGGGAAGAAGCAAGAAGAAGCTAGAAGAAGAAAGAAGAAGCTGGCATGGTGTAAAGGCTGAATAAACCGCTTTGAGAAGAACACGTTGTTGTTGCCTCCTTCCTGCTGGTCAGGGGTGAGCGACAATGTTCCATTTTCATTAGAGTTTATACAAAATAATTACTTGAAAGAGGACCTAAATCACAATATGGACAAATAATCTCTACTTTTGACATTTTCTTTTTATTTTACTTTATTTGAGTATAAAGATGTGGGGTATAAGCCAGGATTAGGTAACTAGGTATGTCTGTGCAGGTGAAGTTTGGGCTGCCAACTGGTTCTCATTTCCCCTAGTTTAGGATCGGGTATACTTTGTGTTGTTACATGCCCCTCTTTTTCCCCTGGCAGTGTCCTCTGACTGCCAATCCCTCTCTTATGCTATTGTGGTTAATGTTCAGGTCCCACTTATGAGTGAGAATGTGTGTTTCTTTTGTTTTGAGTTGGAGTCTCACTCTGTTTCCCAGAGCAGTGGCACCCTCATGGCCACTGCAGTCTCCACCTGCTGGGCTCAGGCAATCCTTCTGCCTCAACCTTCCAAGTGGCCAGAACTACAGGTGCACAGTACCATGCCCAGCTAACTTTCTATTTATTGTAGAAATGAGGTCTTGCCAATTTGCCTGGGTTGGTCTCAAATTCGCGGGCTCAGGTAATCCACTCGCCTCAGACTCCCAAAGTGCTGGGATTACAGGCTGAGCCACGGAGCCCAGCCTATGTGTAGTATTTGGTTCTTTGTTTCTGCGATAGGTCATTAAGAATGATTGTCTCCAATTCCATCCAATTTGCTGGGAAGTCCATTATTTTGTCCTTCTTTATGGCTGCATCATGTTCCATTGTGTATATGTGCCATGTTTTCTTTATCTTGTCTACTTTCAATAGGAGTGGGGTTGGTTCCATGTTTTTGCTATTGTGAATAGTATGGCAATAAACATGCATGAGCAGGTATCTTTTTTTATAGGACAAGTTGTGTTCCTTCTGATATATTCCAAGGAGGGGGATTTCTGGATGGTATGGAAGGGCAATTTCTAGTTCATTTAGACATTGCCACACTATTTTTCATAGAGGTTGTATTAGTTTGCACTTCCTAAATGCAAAACCTTAAACTATAAGAATTTTAGAAGAAAACGCAGGAGACATACTTACATACACAAGAGTAGGCAATTCATTCTTAATCAAATCCCCAAAAGCATATGCCATAAAGGATAAGATAGACAAGTGGGACCTCATCGAACTGAAAAGGTTTTGCACAGCAAATGAAACCACTAGGAGAGTGGGGAGACAGCTCACAGAATGGGAAAAATTGTCTGCTAATTGTATATCTGACAAAGGTCTTACATCAAGGATCTGTAAGAATTCAAATGAACCAAAAGGGAAAAAACAACCAGCCCTATTAAAAAATGAGCATAGGACATGAATAGACACTTCTCTAAGGAAGACATATGGGCAGCCAACAGACATATAAAAAATGCCCACCTCACCGATCATCAGAGAAATGCAAATCAAAACCACGCAGAGAGAACACCTTACCAGGTAATGATGGCCATCGAAAATAAAAAAAAATTAGTTGCTGATGTTGGTGTGGAGAAAAGGGGACGCTTCTACTTTTCACATTTTCAACAATCCTATAAAAAATCTGTGAGTTTAGCAATGTTTCAGGCTTGGTATGAGTGACTACATCTTGGGCTGCTGACTACATGTTGAACTGCTGATGAACTTTAAGATCCACAAAGAAACTGTGAAAAACATCTTCTTTACAAATAACTAAGCACTCAACAATATGAGATACAAGAAAATTGATCCTAATTTTTACAAACACTTTGTTTTAGGTTTTTCCTGACTCTGTTAAGCAAATGCACATTTCTACGGATGATTGATGATGGATTCTTTGTTTAATCCACCATGAAGTAATATGACAAAAAAATTTATGAAATGTAAATAAATTCCTATAAATAAAAGCCTCCTTACCTTTCTTGAGTTGTACAGTTTCTGACTGCTATAGTTGCAACATTCATTCTTCTTCTTTTGCTAAGATTAACGAAGCTCATTTTTTTTCTGTCTGCATATGTGCTAAAGTTATATCTGGGTGTCCAATGGACACTTTTCTTTAGAACCATTTCTTTAAAACTTGGTGTCTGGGACTATATTTTATTTAGCTATAGGACTAACTTATTTATTCATTGCAAGCAACTAAAGTAAAATTAATCATACTTACCATGCTTAGGGTTTTGCTGAGGTCCTTAGTGTTTAACTGTATAGTATTTCCAACAATTGGGAAAGGAGTAGGGCCAGGTGGGAGCTTCCTTCTGGCATGGCTTCCATTCCAAAGAGAAAAAAGAATCAAACAAGAAAGACAAATCACCAGGATGATGAAGGGATCCATTGATGTGCTTTGTATAAATGCAATTAAGAGTTTAGAATCCAAAGATTATATAAACACAAAGTACAAGCCTATCACCACACATGTAATAAGCCTTTGAACTTTGAATCAATAATTCTAATCTTTGGTACACCTTGATCTGCTGGTAGAAATGAAAACAAGAAGTCACATTAGAATTGGTTAATTCCCAAGTTCTACCTGGAAATTTCAACTCAAAACTAACTCTTACTTCTATACAACCAAGAACAAACTAAAATCATATTAGTGGAAGTAATGAAGTATAGGACTCAGAGAAGATACAAATAAAACAGATACTAAAAAGTTTAAACAATAAAAAAAGAAGTATTGCCATTTGAAAATATAAAATGAACCAACCTTTAGCTAGAAAACTAAGAAAAAATGAGACTAAAGTAAATAAAATCAGATTAAAAAGTAGACATTACAACTGACACCAAAATTACAACAAATCATAAGCTATTATGAATAAGTGTATGTCAGCAAATTTGAAAATATGGAAGAAATAGACAAATTTCTAAATGCATACAACCTACCAAAATTAAGACATGGTGACACACAAAACCTAAGTAGACCAATGAAGAGTGAGAAAATCGAATCATTAAGAAGGTTTCCATCAAAGAAAAACCAAGGACCTGATGGTTTAACTGCTGAATTCTGCCAAACATTTAAAGAAGAACTAATACCAATTCTCCTCAAACTATTATAGAAAATTGAAGAGGAGGAAATATTTTTAAACTTATTTTACAAGGACAGCATTATTCTGTTTAGACAACCAGACATAAGCACAACAACTACAAATAAAACAAACAAATATAAAACTACAGACCAATATTTATGGTATGCACATATATAAAAATTTTAAACAAAATATTAGCAAACCAAATCCAGCAGCACACCGAAAAGATCATTCACTATGATTGAATTTGATTCATTTCAGGGATGTAAGAATGATTTAATATAGGCATAACAATAAAAAGTGATACAACACATTAAAAAAACAAAAATTATATAATCATTTAATACATGTAGAAATAAAGCATTTGAAACAAATTCTATATCTTTTCGTAATAAAAACTTTCAAGGCTTTTATAAGGTATGAACCTCAACACAAGGCCTTGTAGACAAACCCATAACTAACATCATACTGAAAGGAGAAAAGCTAAAAGATTTTCCTTTAATATCAGGAATGAGGCACAGATAATTGCTTTCACCACTTCTATTTAACATTTTATGGAAGTCCTACCCAAAGAAATCAAGCAAAAGAAATAAATAAAAGGCATTCGAATAGGAAAGAATAAAGTCAAATTGTCTCTGTTTGAAGATGACATGATCTTAAATATAGGAAATCCTAAAGGCTTTGCTAAAAAGCTGTTATAACTAATAAACAAATTCAGTAAAGTTATGAGATAAAAATTAACATACAAAGATCAGTGTAATTTCTACACACTATTAGTGAGCTAACTAAAATAAATTAAGAAAATGATTCCATTTGCTATAGCTATCAAAAGAAGATACCTATCAATAAACTTAACCAAGGAAGGGAAAGACTTTACACTGAAAACTATAAAATATTGATAAAAAATATTGTAAAAGTTATAAATAAATGGAAAGACATCTCATGTTCATGGAAAGAAATAATAATGTTAAATGAACAAAGTGATCTACAGATTTAATATAATCCCTATTAAAAAATGACAGTTTGCACAGAAAGAGGAAAAATAATTTTCAAAATTATACAGCACCAGAAAAAACCCTGAATACTCAAAACAGTATTGTGCAAAATGAACGACTAGAAGAGTCAAACTACCTTACTTCAAAATACACAATGAAGTTATAGAACTCAAAACAGCTAGATATGAGCATAAAAACATATATACATAGACCAATGAAATGAGCAGAGATTCAGAAATAAATTCACTAACTTACAGCTAACTAATTTTCAACAAAGATGCCAAGAATACACATTGAGGAAAACACAGTCTCTTCAATAATAGGTGCTGAGAAAATTGAATATGCACAAGCAAAAAAATAAAACTACACTCCTACCTTTCACCATATGCAAAAAATAATTCAAAGTGAATTAAATACATGGAAATTCTCAAACTATAGAACTACTAGAAGAAAACATAGGTGAAATTTCTTAACATAGGGCTAGTCAAGGATTTTTAAAATAAGACCTCAAAAGTATAGGCAAGAGACAAATGAGATTACATCAAACTAAAACCTTTTCCATGGTAAAATAAACTACCAACAAAGTAAAAAAAGAACCTGGAGAATGACAGAAAATATTTGCAAACTACACCTATCACAAGAGATTAATATTCAGTATATATAAGGAACTCAAGCAATTTAATCAAAAAATTAAATAGCCTGAATAAAAATGGGCAAAAACTCTAATAGACATTTCCCAAAATGGTATATAAAAAAAATGTTCAACGTCACTAATCATCAGGAAATGCAAATCAAACACAGTGAGATACCACTTACTCCAGTCAGAAATGCTATTATCAAAAAAACAGACAAGATCAAGTATTAGCAAGCATGTGGGGAAAAGGGAACACATACATGATGCTGGTGGAATTGTAAACTAATATATTCATTACGGTAAACAGTATGAAATTTCCTCAAAAAACTTTTAAAAAGAACTATCCCATAATCCAGCAGTCCCATGACTGGCTATATATCCAAGGAAATAAAATGAATATGTCAAAGAAAGTCAGGGTTTCCGTATCTATTGTGGCACAGTTTCCAATAACCAAGCTATAAAATTGATCTAAGTGTTTGACACTGAATGAAAGGATAAAGAATATGTGGTGTATATACACAAAGAAATGCTATTCAGCCATAAAAATAATTAAATTCTGTCATTTGAAACAACATGGATAAACCTTGAAGACATCATGTTAAGTGAAATAAACTAGACACAGACAAAAAAATTCAGCATAATCTCAATCATATGCAGAACCTAAAAAAATTAATTTGATATTATGGAAGAAGAGTGTGAACAACAGAGAAGGGGGAAGGGCAGGGGACTAGAAGATGGAAAGCGACTGGTCATCAAGTATAAAGATGCAATTAAATAAGAGGAATACATTTTGGTGTCCTATTGCACAGTAAAATGAGAATGGTTAAGTGTAAAGTATTGAATATTATGAAATAGCAAGAAGAAAAATTTTGAATGTTCTCACCACAAGGAAATGATAAATGCACGAGATGATAGATACATTAAATACCCTGATCATTATCTATCTATCTATCATCTATCTATCTATCTTCTATATATAAATTGAATTATATTCTATAATCATGTACAATTACAATTTATCTATTTAAAAATGAATACATTAATTTAAAAGAGACACATGCTTCCCCATTCTTGTGAAATTTGAGAACATAAAACAATTCTAAAAAGTTTTAATTTGAAAAGGAATGCATAAGCAAACAATGCGACTCAGTTTCAAATCAAGTTTTGCATTTGCAATAATTTTAAGTAGACTACAGTGAAAAAAATTCTTTATAAGTTCGAGAGGAAACGTTTTTTTTTTTGAGTTGGAGTCTCATGCTGTCGCCCAGGCTGGAGTGCAGTTGCATGCTCATGGCCACCCCAGCGTCCACCTGCTGGGCTCTGGCTCTCCTGCCTCAGACTTCCAAGTAGCTGGAATTAGCATGCTACCACACCTGGCTAATGTTTGATTTATTGTAGAGATGAGGTCTTGCCAATTTGCTCAGACTGGTCTTGAACCCACGGGTTCAGGCAATCCACTTGCCTCGGCCTCCCAAAGTGCTGGGATTACAGGCTGAGCCTCCGAGCCCGACCAGAAAATGATTTTTTAAAGATATTTTTGTGCCAAAAAACTAGAATTAGGTGAACATTCAGATATTTCATTGCCTGGGAGCCATTTCTGATATAATTATTGGAGAAAAAATTCAACACAATTAATATACATCCAACATAAAAGAAAGTTTGGAACATGAAAATAATAAGGTACAATAGACAAGTAAAAGTTTCTGAGTTTAAATAATGATTGGCAAATGGTAGTAAATTTAAAAAATTTTTCATAAGAAAAAAGGAATTAAAATTCTATATGCAATCAGTAAAATAGGTAAACTGGAACAAAGAATGAAGTTATCAGAATTCTAAGAGCTGTGTCTTACTTTCATAGGAAGGTTGTTGACACTGTTCTCACCTTTGTTTATCTAGATAGATACAAAAAAATTACAATATAAGATTTGTTAACCACCTGTAGGATCCAAGATGGACACCATGGAGCAGCACACTGGCACTTCTCTCGCCTAGCAAGACAGAGAGTGGGAATCCAGTGGTTGATTGACAGAGATGCCCTGAATACTTTAATACAGGCAATACATCTTGCACCCATTGGAGGTCTCTTTGAGTTCACAGATAATAGGAAACAATGGCAGATGAGAGTTTTCAGGTGCCCCATTCACTGCCCTCTTCCAAGTTCAGACAAAGACAGAAGCTCTGCTTGGTGAAGGAGAGGGGTGAGTGATTCTAAGATGTTTCAAGCCAGTTCACCCCTCCCAGTCATGTGTAAGCTGTTGTTCTCATGAGGGAGCAATTTTTGTCAGGGCATAATGGGGGCAACTGAAGCTCAAGTGAAATAGGGGAACAAAACTCACCCCCTGGCCACCACTATGGTGACCAGTTTCCAGACAGAAGAAAAAAACTTCCTGCAGAGTGAATCTGACTAGTACCTCCACTTCTGGCAATTAGTGGTGAAACAGACTGGTATTTCTCTTGTCAAGCAAGACAGAGAGTAAGGACCCTGCTGCTGATCACCCTGCACCTATCAAAGGTCTCTTTGTACACACAAAGACCAGAAAGCAACAGCAGGCATGAGATTCCAGGTGCCTTACCCCCACCCTGTTCAAGCTAGGACAAAGTCAGATGCTCTGCTTGGTTTAGGAGAGGGGTGAGGGATTCAAAGATGTTTTGAGTCAGTTCACCTTCTCCTAGTCATGCG